GGAGAGGACATTGGAGAGCTGACAGGAAAGCATTGGGTGGAGAGAGGGGAGCGGGATCGGCAAAGGACCTCGAAGTGGGATTCGAACTCTGGTCGCCGTGAGCGCAACTGTGCTATGTCGATGCACTAACCATAAGGTTATGGGCGCCGACCCGATTCTCGATTTTTTTATTACATTCAGTGAGTATAGTTTTAATACAAATGCTATTGATATTTCTAAAAAATTAACAGTAAACATCAGTTTACAAATGGTGAATTAATAAAAAGAAATTAAGAACCACGTGCCTGTATTTTAAACCTATTCTTTTTTTTTGTATAGGGTTCTTTTTTAAACAATAATAGGGCCCTATAAAATGTTCTTAATTTTTCTGGTAATCAGATGAAGGCATAAAACATTAATTTAATTTATAATGAAAATTAAACCCTTTTATTTTGTTGGCAAACAAAGTGCTGCACAACAGAGGTTTACTGTTAAAATTAAAAAGAAAACAGATGTGATTTATTCCTTTAAAAATAAAGATTTATTAATATTTATTAGCAGTAGTAGCATTGAGTCTTCTTAAGACTGCTAAATAGTAATATATTCTGACAGTTTAACGTTTTTATTTTGACGGGTTGCCGTGAAGAATTTGCAGCTGCTGTGTATGTGATATGATGGTAGTTTTCTCAAATGAAACGGTAAAATGCTAATGAAGTGACTCTCAGAGCAGCTGGAGATGACATTCGTGTTCATATCATCATATAGCGAGACAGCAGAAGCTGAAAAGACCGCAAGCGTCATCCGGGCTTTAGTATGCGTGTAGTAAACAAAGTTCACCGCGCCATCCGCCATTCATTCATTGCGGAAATCATGGCGCCTTATGCGTGATATCAAATGCTTCCGCAGATTTATAGCATTACTATAGCATTTCACCTGAGCATTGCGAATCATGCGTATGGCCATGATAAGCGCTGAATGAATGACAGGCTTTCTGTTGTAACATCGCGCAAGGTAAATAAGGGTGACATCTAGTGGAGAAGACTAATGATAAGATTCACGTTAATCAGATCTTGTTTTAAATGTGTGCTCAAATAAATCCTGGAAAAGATCGATTCGCGGCTTTTGAGAATCGATATCATTTTAAAAAACGATTAATCGAAAAATCGGGGTTTTTTTTTGCCCAGCCCTAGTGCGAACATACACATGCAGTATACTGGTGCCTTTTAAAATGTTTTCACACATCATCTGGTAAATGTAAGTATGTAAACGTAAATGTAACAGAATTACTCATTTCAGTGCTTCAAGGGTGACCTTACTATCAAAATCTAATTTATTTTTAATTGTATAAATGATTTATGTTAGGGACAAAAACCCTACTTTGTCCATTGCAGACTGTGTGACCTGTATTAACATGTATTTATTATGTGTACATTGTTGATGCATGTGTCTGTGGTATCCCTGCAAAAGTATGTTTCCTGTTTTACAGGAACAATACAACACATCATGATATTACAATTATTTTACCATGCTTCTTAAATGACATTCATTAAATCACATTGACAGTAATCAAGGTAGAAAACACGTATTTACAATATAAGAAATAATAATTTCTTAATAATAATTTCTTAATAAAATAATAAATAATATGTTCATCACTAATAAAAAAAAAAAAAAGAGTAACAAAAGCACGACAGGACATCATTAAAACACCTATATATGAATATGTATTATACGAATATGCTAATCATACAAGTACTACGATATTACCATCGCTTTACTATGGTATCGTCACACCATTTATCCCTTAAACAGGATAGTCAGCACATACTGCAACACAATTATGGCAATACCACTGATTTTGGCATGAGCCAGTTAACTAACATTGCAAGGTCATATCGGCGTTGGGATTTGTTAAACAACAAAAATATGCCATGTACCTCTAGAATACACTTAATACATTAGTATACAATATGATTGCGTATCTTTAGTCTGTTTTACTCTGTTGCTCCGTGCTGGATAGATTAGAACACATTTACTGGTCTACTACTAATGCTAAAGCTAAAACTGAAATACAACATCGGTCATCATCCGCAGTAGCTCAATGTCACTAACACAATTTCAAACACATTCATTCGCTCGCTCGACACATAAAATAACAAACAAAGCTTCATTAAATCAGACGATATAGAGCCTGCAGATATCAAAATAAACACACACAAAAAAAGAAATTTATCTCACAAACCTCGCGCCTCCGACCGTCGCTCGCTCAGGGAGGAAGTGAGTGAGTGACGCAAACAGGAAACAGATGGGCAGAGCGTTGTTGCTGATATCAAAAAGAAGACCAATGCTGCGTCTCAATGTGCCTACTTATACTACGCCCTTAAAGTGTGTACTCTTTTGGTGAAGAATAAGTACACACTTTTGAGTGTGTAGTAGAAGAGTAGGCAAGCGTTAGGACATGCTATCAAGAGGTTGAGGAGCACAGTGTGGAAGCTGGAGGAGCTGAACACGCAGCGCCAGCTGAAGCTTGGGCTCTGATCCTATGGGGTGGGTGGGGCATTACAAATTTTTTTTTTTCCCCTTCAGTACAGATTCATCACCCATGTGCGCAAGATATACAGTAGGTGGCGGTAATACTCCTAAGGAGTGAACGGCCATTGAACAAAAAGAATAAGAAGAAGACATATGGGATGATATTAGGCTCAAAATGATTAATAGATGCACGCACAATTATCCATGTACTGCATAAATTTTATACATGTATCTTACTAACCACAAACAATATCATAAATTGCTCATGCAAAAAGGAATACATGCATATGTGGATCAGATGACACGCGTGCATTAATTGACTTCTAGTTCGAGTGGATCTTCTTCGGTTCATTTGGATTTTGAGACTTCATTTTCGCAGTTTACAGTATTTCACGTCCCCCACACACACAACTACCAACGAACAAGGCCCAGTGCAATTCATTAACGTGTACACGATTTGAAAAATTTGCAAATGTGCGTCACTACACTGAAACAAATGCTTTTCAACCGGTGTCTGCAGAGTTAAGAATTACATTAATGTGCAGCATTTTGTTTTCACAATTTGGCTATTTGAATTTGAATGCAACAGACTATTATTTATTAGGCCTATGTAAACCAGGCTTTGTACTTAACCCGCTTTCCAAAAAAAAAATATATATATATATATCATGGTATTCTTCACATGAAAAATCGTCCTCTTCACATAAGCAAATAGGCTATGTGCTTGGCCCGAGTTTAGGCTGGGCCCGGATTGTACTACGGGCTGTTTTAATTAACCAGTGTATCTAGATTCAAAGACACATCTTTTTCATCAGCACCTGATCAATTAATACTAGCCCTTACCTTTTATATTCAATTCAATTCAATTCAATTCTATAATTTGTTAAAAAATAAATAAAAACTTGTGTACTGCGCTAGACTAACTGAGACCTAACCTAACATTCGTGGTCAGAATTATTGGCACCCTTAGTAAATATGATCAAAGAATCCTGCAAAAAATAAATCTGTATTGTATAAAATATCACAAATCTCCCTGAAAGTGGATGTCTGTCTATATTGTCTTAATACAAGGTGAGGAGGATAGTTTGAGTGGCCAAAGACTCTCCACAAAGATCTCTTGTCAAGTGATCTCCAAACTCATCAGGCATTATAGGAGAGACTCAGAGCTGTTATTGTGGCAAAAGGAGGGAGCAAAAAGTACTGAATAAAAGGGTGCCATTAACTGTGGCCAATGTGTATAAGAGAAACATTTATTTCCTAATGAGCTTCCCCTCACCCCCTTTTTGTTCTTTTATCAAAAAGGATTAATGATGCAGATTTATTTTCACAGGCTTCTTTGTTCATATTTACCAATAATTCTGACTACGACTGTGATCTTTTATCAAAAAGGATTAAATGATGCAGATTTATTTTCACAGGCTTCTTTGTTCATATTTACCATGGGTGCCAATAATTCTGACTACGACTGTATAGCCTATGCAAATGTGCAAAACTTGCTCATAACTTTAAATTTTTGATTCGATTGTGTGAATGGGTTTTGCCCCACATTCTCTGCAGCAACTCTAGCATAACTGTGAGCACACGAGTTTCTTAATTTGTGATTTGTGGAATAGGATTTGTGCACCTCAGAATTTGAAATGGTGTAACCGTTGTGTTGTGTTTGTTAGAGAATGAGTAAAAAAAACTTTTTCTCTGTGACTTCAAATTTACCAATATGCATGTGTGACTATTCATTACAACTACAAATTCCACTGTCAGAGGTGCTAATGTTTGCTATAATAATACCTTCACAGAACATGGTAGTAGTCAGCCATCCATGCAAAAGCAGAGGTCAGTGTGGTGTACTGTAGGTACAGCTGTCCAGGCCAACATCTGATGTGCTGATGTCCTCAACTGTCATCCCAGAAAACCTGCAATAAAAACAGTACAGTTCAAAATTCATCATACATTACCAACATAAAAGGGCTGCCCAATCCTGTTCCTGGAGATCTACCTACCTGCAGAATTCAGATCTGACCCTGATCCAATACAACCGTCTGTAATTGTCGTCTGCCCGTCTGCTTTCATTGATGTGCTGTGAAGTAGATTTGTTGACAAGTTCCTCCCTGAAAGTACATCAATGACACAATAAAACTGTATTTTCGTAGAGGATCATTTAATAAAGTCACTATATTACTTTTTAAATGATCTCATTAATAACTTTGTTAAATAATATTAGCATTGCTAACAGGCGAGTGCTTATGAGAAAGGCATGCAACAGCTTTTTAGGTTCATTTACAGTTATTTACATTTGTATCATAAATACATACTGAGTCCCAAAGTGCTCTTCAGTAAACGTGGTAAAAAGATGTCCAAACTGATTAATATTTTAATAGTAGTAGAATATCAAAATTACAAAAATGCCATCATGAGCTGTTTGAGTGTAAACAAATAGAATAGAGAGGGACAGAACACAGCTAAACCCTCCATCTAAATCTTCAAGTCAAAGGGGTACTAGTTATATTTAGTTATATTTAAAAGTTTGGTATCGAAAACAAGTTCCATTTTAGAACCGGTTCCAAATTTCCAAAAACCGGGTATTCGATAAGACGCGTGCATTTCAATTCTGCTTAACGATTCCTGCGTTCGCATTTTAATGTGATTTAAAACGATTTAAGTGCAGGAACGGAAAGAACTTGCGCCCCGTTTACGTGCAGCGCACACGAAGCGCAAATGTGAGCACAGAGAACAGAGGTCTTGGTGCGGTATCCCGGTGCATTTCCACTGCAGAAAAGGTTGTTCTGGGCCGGAACTGATTCTTTCATATGTATCGACCAGTATGCAGAAAACCATGTCCTTATATCATCATAAACACAGC